GAATGATGTCTTGCATATTTGTCCTTACGGAAAATTTTGTGGTCATCAACAGACTTTAATTTTTGCCATTGTTTGTATGCAGCTTTCTTTTCAGCTATTGCATTTTTTACACTGTTATTCCACCACCAAGTTCATGCTGGCGTTTTGTACCAGTTTTCCCACAAACTGTAGTTGCAGCGTTCATCAAAACGGTTTTGTATGTACTGGATTGCGATTGGTGGTCTAACTGTGTGGCGACAATCTGAATATTGACAATTCAATTTTTTTAATGAATATTGCTTTTCAGCTTTCACGTTTTGATTTTCCGAGGCATTTGTTTAGACTTATGTTTTGACAACCAGGTCTGCCACAAGGAATTCATGTTTTGCGACACATGATTCGCCATTTATCTTCCACACAACTATTTTTTATTTATCTATCACGATCGGCGTGATGACTCAAGGTTACAAGCGCCTGGTCTTGCTATTGCATTGACTGGGTTCGAATACAAAGAGATCTTCGCCTATCACTTGCAATGTGTATGACGCGTGGTTTGCACGCGTATTGATATACGCGGTGTGTGTTTGTCGTTGAAACCTCTGAAGCAAACGCAAAAGAAAGAGACTTTTAACCTCACTAACTCATCATCTAGTCTATTTATTTGCCTTTTTATGCCATTACTTCATTTTTTTGTCAATTTATTTTATTTTTTTTAATTTATTTTATAATTATGTTTTATTTTATTTTTCATGTTTAAACATTTGTCTTTCTCCGTTTTTTTATTAATTTATTTACTTATTTGTTTAATTTCATACTACTGCCTTGCATGCTGTAACAGTTTCTGCGTCTGCCAGATCCTGATTTTTAAAGAATAATTTAAAAAAAAGATCATTCAATCCATAATTATTTACAAAATCAGTTTTTCTTTCTAATCCTAAATCTTCAGCTGTTTTTTCTGCGCTTTCAATATCTAACACATGACGAGTAGCTGATGGAGATTTTGTTGTCGACCGAGGTTGTTGCGTGGAGTGGACAAATATGAAGGTGCATTCTGAAATTTGGAGGGTTCTGAATCTTTTTTTAACTTTTTTCTTTGCTTCTCCATAACAGTACTGGCAATCCCCACGTTCTATTCAATTTTCCTTCATAAACCAATCACTAAAACACATTACGAAATCTGTCAAAGTCGAGGGAACAAATTTTGGAATGTTTGTTTGGAACATAATCTTTAAAAGTTTAGCACGTACCCATCTAGCACACAAATCCGGATTTTATAATATAGGCGTGAAACGATATGTCATTTTTCTCGTCATTTGCTGCGTTTGATTTGTATCCACTTTTACGTCCGTATGCTGAGCATTTATTCACCATTTATATATAATTCCAAACAAAATATTAAATACAATGTAAAATTATTTAAAAGGAAGAAAATTAACGATTTCAGTAAATGACCGATGATCAAATCTCAACAGCATTACAAAACAACGTGCAACACAAATAAACAAAGATAGTTTAAGTAAGGGTTAATTATTTAACGCATTTAACGAAGCGATAGCTTAAATGCCTGAGCTTACTATTCTCAAGTTATGATGTGCGTTGCGTATGTTAGCCCTTTCGTATCTAGAGGCTATTACATCGAGACATCTATGCTGAAACATTATGTAAGTGGATATTATTAATCGGTGAATGATTTGAAGCATAAAGAATTACGATTGTATCGCTTGGACCATCATATTGATGTTACTATTTGGATTATCTTGATTACTTTTAAATTACAGGCATCAAAACCAAGCACTATCATTGAGAAATTTGTTTTTCAAAATGTGCTAACTAGGAATGCGACGGTTCCGAATCCGGATTCTGAGACCACGCGTCAGGAGGCATTCATTATATAGAATTAACCAGAAGGTTAATTTTATAGTTGCAGTTGTAATCTTCTCTAGTCATCTTGGAGACTGTCCATGCCACTGGGTTCAGACGGCTGCAACAACGTTTTGTGGACTGAGGGCTCTCGCAACCTACTTCCAAGTTAAAATTTTCCTGTTTTTGTTTTGCCCGCTAATACCGGGGACAGAAGACATTTTAAAGACCTGCGGCAATGGTTACACAGGTGTCGGAGGTAGATTCAAGATAAAATTGGAAACCCCTAGTTTTTGTGCTATACGCAAACGGTTCTGGAATAATAGTCGCTAAGACTTGAAAAAGGGAATGACAAATCTCTTTGGCAGCTTCTAGGGCGATTAAGCAGCCATATTTAGAACTCACACTGGTTATCTTAAACAAGGAGGGGCCTAGAAAAGGTAGCCTAAAAATTGCTCGTTTTCAATCTTTTCTCAGTTGGGTAACCGCGCTCATTGGGCATTTTCCTTAGCAGTCACAAACAAAATTTGACTCGTGGACCTATTCAATTTGTGCGATTTGTGACCTGGAACGTCAAAACGCTTTTCAACCATATTGTTACGGCGCATCGCTCTTACTGCTCTCGAGCTGAGCAGATATCAAATCGACATTGCTGCATTGACAAACACATTCTTTTGGATGAATTTATTAGGCAATGATCCGCGGAATCATGGTGTTGGTTCTGCTGTCCGTACAAACTCACTCAAAAAAATAACTGAGGTTCCAGTCGGGGTCAGCGAAAAACTCATGTACATTTCACTTGCAAAAAATCGTCACATGATCATCCTAAGTGCTTATGCCCAACTCTTGACGCAAAAAAATTTGTAAAAGATATTTTCTACAAATGCCTTCGTGCAACCATACAAAAAATACATAAAGAGTTTTGTTTCAGTCCGTGGTTGCTTGTCGAAGAAACCTTTTTTTCTGAGGCTGAAGGAAATTTAATGCGCTTTCTGATTAGACATTCTACCAAACCCAAAGCGTGAAATCCCCTTACACTGTGGTTTTCATCTTAGTATGTAGGTTCCCGTCGTCTTACCGAACACTGGATTCGAGCGTTACCACGTACTTAACAGACATTCAATCTTAGTTTGATGCACTTTCAATTCCTTTGAAGATGTGAAACCTCTTCCTCAAACACATTTATGACCCCGCCATTTATGGAGTCTGCGGAGGCAATAGTCAAAATATCGGGTAGGTCACCAGTAGGTAGCTCATCATTCTTCCCCTCCTTTCGGTTGGAGTACTGGACGCATATATCATTGATAGACGAAGCAAGTAGTTTTAGAAAAAATGGGCTGCCAACCCGTTCCCCGTGATCGTCATTCCGACTTGCCATCTGAATTTCCAAAAGTCTCTCCTGATGTCATCCAGTCTTTCCTGATGTCGTTCAGTTTTTCTTGACTATCCCGAGCGTCAATGGCTGTAGCCTTAAAATATGTATATATATATATATATATATAAATATATATATAAAGCAGATAGCTATTTAGAGTTATAGATAACCCATCTTCAGTGCATTATATATAATACATGTAAGATATTTGATAAGATAAGAAAGATATAAACAATCTTACCGTTAAAATTTTGAAAATTGCGTTTTATATTGTTTAATGTTATTAAATTTATTTGATTCGTTTTCTGTTTTAAATAATATATATAAATTAATAATTATTTGTTCTTTCTTATCTTATCAAATATCTTACATGCATTACATTTTCTGACATTAATAAATTAAAAAGAAATATCAAAAAGTTGAACAATGTTGAAAGAAGTGTTGAATTTTTGAAATATATATATAAATAATTATATATATATATATATATATATATATATATATATATATATAGTTTGGCACGAGGTTTTCATTATAACAAATTTGGTTGAATGTTCTTGCCCATTTTGTATTAATTAATTTCTTTTGGGTTTGTTCAATAAGACGCAATTGTTATAACTCAATTTTATTAAACTCGTCAAGCATTTCGAACGGCTGACGACGACGTCGTTTTGATAGTGTATGTCATCATCAGAGCCTACGTTTAAATTATTAAATATGAATTGAATATTTAAAATTATAAAATCAAGAAGATCAAACGAACCAAATTGGGAAAATATAAGCGTAAAATGATTAAGGAAATTAAATTAAAATTAATGTAAAAAGTATACGAAATTTGAGTAAAGGTATTTAACTTGCCAATAAAATAAATTAAATGTTAAGATAACTGATAATAAAATATACAATATACAAAATAAATGAAATGAATTTCAAAAGTTAAATACTGGAAGTGAAGGTAGAAGTACGAATATCGATATTGCAAATTTGGAATGAATATATATATATATATTTCAGAGGCTGGAAAACATGGACTTGTATTAGTTGATAGTAAAATGTTTCTTCTTTTCTTGCGTCTGTTATGAAATTTCCACCATCATTGTTACCTTCTTCAGCAATGTCAGACAAATTTTAAGCGACTGATGTCTCAGCATCTGAATCTCCATCAGCGCATACATCACTGCACACAATACTGATCACCTTTTTTTGGACATCACTCAGTATATTGCCATGCTTTTCAAGAAATTCCAGAACGGCCGGACTATTTTGAATAACACTTTTTTGAAACCTCGCCTGGTCAGCTGACAATTTCTCGAATCTAATGTCACAATTAGTAACTTTCCACAAGTCGTCAGCGAGAAAACAGGGAAATTTGTCTTCGACTTCAGTTTCAAAAATTAACCGATATATACTAAGAAATTCGTCCCACATTATATTCTTGTCAACGTCTTCGGAAAACTCCGGCAGGCTGAGCGATAATGTGCTGGCTTCATGCTGCAAAAACTTTGCACTTTGCACGTCGTCAACTTCAAAAAATTCGCAGAGAAGTTTTCATTTCCTTTTCATTTATCTGCTTTTGAACGTACCAAATATAACACAATAACATATCAATAGCGTATTTTTTATCGCTTTTAACCTCGACAATTATTCCTTCCGCCATTTTCCAAAGATATATATATATATATATATATATATATATATATATATATATATAGAGGATTAAAACTGTCAAAAATGCAATTATTGATGAAAATCACAGCATGTTCGGCGCGTTAGTTAGCTTCCTGTTAAATCACGAATTTAAAAATTTTCAAGATTTTAATTTTTGGAAGCTGGATAACGCAAGAGAGGTAAACAAAATATTATTGTTGGTATCCACTTAAATGCTAATGGAATGAGAAATATGGAATGAAATTTTGCTTTTTAAAATGTGGATAACTATACAACTATTTTTTAAATAAATCTATTTTGTAAATAATCATTCCATACACCTTCATGGAATAACGCAGGAGTTTTAAAATTTTGATAAGATACATTAAAAATTTTAAATATTTTAATACATTCAAAAATAACTAATATTGAAAATTATAAATTTATATTACATAAAAAAAAGATTGTGAACAACATTAACAATATAGTTATTATGACTCACAATAATTAATTAAAAAGACAACGTAATTTGCTGATCTTACGATGAGTGCGCAGTAACTCAAATATGTTCGTAAGTTTAAAATTCGCTGCTGTTTATTTACTGACTATATTTTCAAATACTCTTGAAAACAAAACATAAAATAATTAGAAAATGCTAATTTTAAAATGTTTCACAAAGATACATTCGCATTAAACATTAAAACTTTCAAAATCTATCAAAACAGAATCAGTTCAAACAACCCAAACAGGTAACAACAGTCCTAACAATGTTCAACATTTTTTAACTGTCCCAACAACCATACAGGACTACAACCAATTCATCTTTGGACAAAACCAACTGAAATTTCTGATTGGCTGATAACTACAATCTTCGCATAACATTCAATCGATATTGATATTAAATTCATCAAACTGCGTAAAACTGCGTTGCTGTAGATGACTGAACCTCGATCTGTCCTAGTTTGAATTGAGCCCTTTTTATCCATTTAAATAACATGTCACAGACGACTTGCTGCTCTGATGATTTCACAGAAGGTCTCCAATTTTGACACATTTGTAATCGTACTTGCATATGCCCTGGCAACTGTTAAAAATTGAAAGTTTGAAATATTTCTATAAAATTAATAAATTCATAAAGATTTAAGTACGTTATATCATGTTATAGATATTCTAAAATAGTACGTTAAAAATACTTAAAAATCGGCTAAAAAAGTTTTGTTTCAATAAAAGAAAGTTAAAAAAAAATTACATCTGCATTTATCATTCATCTTTAAATAATTTCAAACTTATAAAATTAGTAGCGAGAGTTTATTTATCCATTATTTATTTCAGTTGATTTACAGAGTATCACGCGGGGAGTATATTCATATACACCATATATTGATATACACTGATATACTTATTCTGTTTTTGACAATTTGGGGTTTGATTTGAAACCCTTTGCAATTTCGTTCAAGCGTTGTTTATGTAAATCTTTTGTTATCTTTCTTATCCTGTCTCTCAACGACCTGAACAAATCCCAACAATTGCTGCCATATCTGTAAATTTGTTTCCATAAGACATGCTTCAGCTTTATTAACAAACGTAGTTCGGGAGTCATATCCTGTATATATATATATATAAATATATATATATATATAATTTGGTTGAATGTTCTTGCCCATTTGTATTAATTAATTTCTTTTGGGTTTGTTCAATAAGACGCAATTGTTGTAACTCAATTTTATTACGTCGTTTCGACAGTGTACGTCATCATCAGAGCCTACGTTTAAATTATTAAATATGAATTGAATATTTAAAATTGTAAAATCAAGAAGAATAAACGAACCAAATTGGAAAAATATAAGCGTAAAATGATTAAGGAAATTAAATTAAAATTAATGTAAAAAGTATACGAAATTTGAGTAAAGGTATTTAACTTGCCAATAAAATAAATTAAATGTTAAGATAATTGATAATAAATATACAATATACAAAATAAGTGATATGAATTTCAAAAGTTAAATACTGGAAGTGAAGGTAGAAGTACGAATATCGATATTGCAAATTAACTAAAACAGTTTCTAATTATAAAAGTTATTGATTTTGAATTTTGGTTTTTTGTCTTTATTTCTCTATTTTTAATCATCCAATAAAAAAAATGATAACAAAAATTTAATTAATTTTTTTTTCGTAGACCCCTAATTGTTCGTAGGCCCTAGGCACAGTTCCTATTGTGCCTACTGGATAAAACGACCCTGCCTGATGACTTATTACGGTAGATGTTCCCTAGTTTTTTAAGACTGATTTATCATCAATAATCAATTCCGACATATCATCCCCTGGAGTCAAAGGAATTTTGAATTCAACATCATCTGTAAACGGCAAATCATCAACATATACAGACAAAAAATACTCCGACAAAATTTCAGCCCTTTCCTTTTCATCAACAACATGTCTGCCTTCATAAATTAAAGGACCAACTTTATCTTTAATACGACCAACACTATTTACCCTTTTCCAGAATAATTTTGGATTTGATTTAAAACTTTTAGCAATCTCATTCAATCCTAGAAAATGCAGCCGTTTAGATAATTGTCTCACTTTATCTCTTGTTGACCTGAACAGCTCTAATGAATTTTTACCATATTTGAAGGTCTGCTTCCAATAAACACGTATCAATTTTATTAATCTAAGCAAATCTAGATTCATTTTAAACGTATTTTCACGACCGGTTGTTTTTAAAGGAACATATCTCCGAGTTTTAAGCAAAAGTAAATCTCTAAAAACAATTCAACGCCCTTCTACAGATGATTCTGAACAAGAGTTTATTAGGTCTTTTAAGATCGTATCTCATTTTGACATAATCACCGATAACATAACAGAATTATTTTTAACTGAAAATGACCGCCTGGTTGGGATGAAAAGTTCAATATAAAGAGTATTATGATCACTACAATCCACTGGAGCCATGTAAATAATATTCTTGAAAATGTCAACATCAGAGACCACCAGATCTAAAATATGAGGCTGTTTTGAACAGCGAGCACTTGTAGTTTCATTGACGTGTTACAACAGATACTTATCAATAAGTAAACCTAAAAACCAGAGTCAATTCTTGATGGCAGTCCGAATGAGCAAAAAAAAATTTTAATCAATCTCTAGAAAATTGAAATCACCAAAGTTTGTCTTCGCAACTTTTTTTGCTAGAATTTTCTGAAAATAGTTCAATTTATTGAAAATAAAATTATCCAAGTTCATCATAAAGATTTTATAAAACTCTTGTTATCCAAATTAATCATGCATGAAAAGACTTATATCTATTTTTCATAAATCATATTCAGTGCAGGTTTGGTTTATATAGTTTAAGACTACAGCAAGATAGCAATATATTAAAAAACAACAATGAAATAATCCTATATTACAGAAATCATATGTCAACGGCACATAAAATAGACAAAGTTGTACTCAAACAAATCATAAAAAGAAATGCTACAAAAAGAATATACTACAATAATTGTAAGATATCACAATAAGTCTTAAAGAACAACTGCACTCCTAAAGACAATTCTACTTTGAAGGGTAATCATGTAATATATGAATTTAAATGCTCTATTGACGACTATGCGGGTGCGCGTCAAAAACATTCGTATATTGGTGTTACGACCACTACACTATCAAGACGTCTCACAACGCATAAACAAATGGTAACCATCAAATCTCACTTGCAATCACTTGCCTTAATACTAACTTCAATAACAATGAAGAACAAAGAAATGACAACAACAAAGATGAAGAATACGGCACCAACTAATAAATTTTGCTAAAGAACTATGCTTTTTTTAAAGAAACTTAATAAACCAAGATGAATTATGAAAAATCGAAATAAGGCCTTATCATGCATGTTGAATTTGAATAACAGTTTCATTAAATTTTCATGATGAACTTGGAAAATTTAATTTTCAACAAATTGAACAATTTCCAAAAAATTTTTATATATATATATATAAAAGAAGTCATAGATGGAGGTTTGTTCAACCTATGAATCCTTACATGAGCTGAAATTTTAATCAGATCACACGTCAGGTCAAAGTGCAGCTTATAATTAGGTCAATGAAATAATCCTATATTACAGAAATCATATGTCAACGGCACATAAAATAGACAAAGTTGTACTCAAACAAATCATAAAAAGAAATGCTACACCAATCAATACTAATAAAATAAAACTCAGAATATACTACAATAATTGTAAGATATCACAATAAGTCTTAAAGAACAACTGCACTCCTAAAGACAATTCTACTTTGAAGGGTAATCATGTAATATATGAATTTAAATGCTCTATTGACGACTATGCGGGTGCGCGTCAAAAACATTCGTATATTGGTGTTACGACCACTACACTATCAAGACGTCTCACAACGCATAAACAATACCAACTGGTGGTCAAACACACCCTAATTCTGCTGTAGGCACAAGACTGTACATTAATAATTTGTCCTTATAAATCCAAAAAATTCTAGTAAAGAAAATTGAAAAGACAAATTTTAAATTGATTAATGCCAATAATTCGGTAAAATTCACACAATACTGCATAAAATATGGTCTCCTTCCAATATATATATAAATTATATATATATATATAAATATATATATATATATATATATATATATATATATATATATATATAAACTTCTTCATATATAGGAATGACCACCACTCAATTTTCTCGTCGACTTACCATGCACAAAAGAGAGGGTGCGATCAAATCTCATATAGAAACAACACATAATACAACATTAACACGTTCAATTCTTGACAATAATACAAATGTTCTTTACAAAAACTCCGATTATTTCACCTTAGACATAGCCGAAGCCATATTAATAGAAATAAAAAATCCAAAATTAAATGCTCAGCTACAAAGTATAACAGTACTTCCGACTCACAAGCAGTTATCTAAACTAATTAATAATTCTCTCACCACCAATAACAACAATAACAACCACGTTACCACCACCACCACCAACAACCATGTTACCACCAACAACAATGTTAACCATGTTAGAGATGCCAACGACCATGACCACAACACCAACAATAATGTTAATAATTGCAGCAACAACACCAATACCTATGATAACAACAACAACATCATCATTGTCAATAACAACAGCAACAATAACAACAGCAACAACAACAGCAGCAGCAACAATAACAACAACAATAGTAATAATAATGATAACAACAATAACAACAGCAAAGACAACTACTACAACAACAATAGTAATAATAATAATGATAATAACAATAACAATGATAATAATATAAACTTGGAAACATGAATATTGTAGTATGATGATATGGCTGATTTTTGTTTTTTATTTGTTGATTTACTTTATGGTCGTTTTTTCAGCAATTTTAAAATTTTAATTTTAATTTATTTTGTTTAATTCTAATAAATATCTATGTAAATAATTTTAAGTTAATTTTATCAATATGTTAAATATATAGTATATAATAATTAATAATAGTATTTTCAAAAATGTTTCGCGCTTAAAATTAAGTTATACAGTATGACGTCATTTGTTTATAAACTATAATTTTCGTTATTATTTAAAAGATTTTGCACTGACGATGATATATTTTATATCGAAAAAGCTTTCTGCAATTATTTATTTTAATAAACATGAACAATAATAATTTTGGTTTTTTACTTAATAAATTAAATATCTATAATAAAATTTTAATTAGAAAACTTGAAAAATTAATGTATAAATATAATAATTGTATTAACGCGGTTTCAATCTTCGTTTTGCGTCCAGAGGCTCGGTTTCCTGAAGTAGGACGTTGTTTTCTTTGCCATCAACTTTTTGCGCCAAATTAGACGATCAGTTGTATCCATTTCATTTAAATTTAGAGCTTTCATGTCTTGCTCAATTGTTTGCGACCAGGACTTATTTGGACGGCCTTTGGGACGTATGCCAGGTACTTCAACATTTGCAAGAGAAGTTATGGCACTGTTTCCACTTCGTTTGACATGACCAAACCACCGCAGACGGTGTTGCCGGCATTCGTCCTTTATATTATCTAAACCAGCACGACGCAGGATTTCGGTAGATTTGATGTGGTCCTTCAGACTAATTCGTTGCATTTTCATGTCGGTTCGTTGAAGTTGTTGTTCCAGTTTGGTTGTCATAGGCCATGTTTCTGCACCATATAACAACACCGGACGTATCACAGATTTATAAAGCCTTGACCGTAGTGGTAGTGGGATGTCACGCCGCATCAATATATAGGCAAGGAGATGCCATTTATTCCAGGCTGCACGTATGCGTGCTCGAACGGTAGCTTCAGCTGTTCCAGTACAATCCAGAACATCCCCTGGATATTGAAACGATGTGACTTTCTCTATTTTAATATTTCTGTATTAACGCGGTTGATTTTCTTAAAAACTGTATCGAATATGGTCTAAATCCTAAGATATATATATATATATATATATATATATATATATATATATATATATATATATATATATATATATATATGCTATCGATGAAGAAAAGGAGACCAAAGAAGATGA